ACAATTGTTTTTATCTAAATTTATGCTACAAAAATCTTTGCCCGGCGATTGTAACGTTACCAGCCAAAAATGCTCGGCCGATTTTCCAAATTCTTTTTTCCCCTTCGTCCTCGAAACTTCTTCCTCCTGCAACCATTCAAATTCAATCAAGGCTTATAGGGGAGGGGGGGTTTAAATTTAGAACTGAAGAGTGTGAATACTTTGCCTTTCTTTACAATCAAAGACTTACGGAAGTGGGCATAAATTTGGATAACTCCGCTGCAAGCAGGGGGTGTTACAGGGCCACTGACGAAGGGGGCCATGGGGGCTGCCATACCCCCACTAATTAGCGAAACAATTGAACTTTTCAAAAAAATCTTTTGTTATGATTGTTAAAATCTCCCTTCTTGATAGATAAACATAACAGAACAGTTCTGCACCCGGAACCCCGCCATGATAATTCCTTCGGTTCATAATAAATCCAGCTACAAACACAAGACTAATTTCCTGTGTGCTGTAGCCTAATTTTGCTTAGAGGGCCACTCCATCTAGGCCCTTTACAAGAAAGCTACTTTATTAACAACAACAGAACGATAAAAATAAAACATCGTGCAACTCCAGTTTCATCCAAGCGAGTGAAGCTGCGAGAGCGAGATATGAAACCAGTATTTCGCGGCAAAATGAAAGCAATATTAATACACTTTTCTCTGATTGGATTTAAACTTTGAGGGACAAACAAAAGGAAAGACAATAGCCGTTTCAGCTCGTTTCCACAAGAAGAAGTTTAATTTATAAGAAACCTGACTGAAGGATGTACCTTATCCTTGTTTTGTCAGCGCTCAACTCTACAACTGTCCTTAAATTGTTAACAGTTAGCAACTGGATGGAGAAAGAGGTCAATGTTATCAAAAAGGCAATCTCGATGAATGTTGTTTATTACCTTTAGCTGTGCGAAAGCTACGCATAATTTCCCTTTTCCGTGTTTTTGTGCGGCATACCGGAAAAAGGGCGTTTCTTGCATTCTCCGTTTTGTAATTTGTTTTGCTTACTTAATTGCAACCGTCTAGCCGTAGAAACGTACGCATAAGCAATACACTTGTAAATAAACCAGTTTGCTTCTATAACCCATTCATTTACTCCCTTGTCCCCATGCAATTTTCTGGATTGCTGTGGGGACAGTGGGGGACTTGCAGGGATGTAATCGCAGCCCGGACCCTTCGATCAGGTTTCTATGAGCTCTCGGAGCTTTTCTATAACCGACAGAAAAAACGATATATTGATTTAGCAATGTTAGGACACACTTGTTGATTAAGCAGACATTATTTCCAACTTACTGATGCCTTATGGGCCGGGCCCTTTAAATATGACTCCCTCTTAATATGGTGCCTAAAGTAATATGTAATATTTAACGTGGAAGAAGTAGAGGAAAACAAAGCCAGAAATACTTTTTAGATTTAAATTGGAACTTAAAGCTGGCAGAAGAGATTAAGTGATGTTTTAATTATCAAAAGATGAGGCAAGATCGAAAAACATGACCACCAAAGCCCTGGAGGGACAAGGCACTGAAAAGAAGTAGAATTCGAAAAAGAAGAAGCAGAATGTAAGCTTTAGGAAAAAGTGTAGTTCCCTGAACGGGTCTAGTGGACATTTCAAGACCATTCAATTAAAGAAAGAAGCATTGATACATCGCTTTTTCTTCATTTTTTCTTAAGTTGTTTTTAAGCTACTTGGATTTGTTCCAATTTGTTCCAGTGGGTGATAGAAAATCAAATGCTTCTGGAAGGCCAAATGATATATATCCATCTTTGACCGTGCCTTGAATGAACACCTTTAAAAGTATATTTCTTGGTCTTCATCCACAAATCTCGTTCTAAACCGAAATACGACAAAGTTTATGGTTTTGTGTACAAAACATATTTCAAAGCAACACAGTCTTCAAGACTATAATCTAGTTCTACAGACTGGGAGAATAGGTCTTGAACAAGAACACTTAGTAAATTGCTTGCTGCAATATTGAGCGATCATCTATCATGGGACTACCATATAGCCAGTGTAACATCTTCATGGATCTATACCATGTCCATGATAGCGAAAATCAGAGAAAACTCGTTCCATTAAAATTATAGAGACAAGCTGCTGAACTTCTCGCTATGTCCAATTTGGACTATACTGACGTTCCTCTTTGACCTCTTCCGTTGAGACTACTATAATGGATGCAAAAAGCTAAAAAATACAGATATTCTACTAGGCCGATACGCCAGAGAGAAAGAAGTGGTACAATTGACTGGTTGCCAGTGAAAGAACGTAGAAACTGGTATCTGATGAAGCATTCATTTAAGTACATACATGATCACCAAAACACTTAAGTGCGGCTTAAAGAAAATACCACAAACCAGTAACAGCCATTTCTGTGACGCTAATTAGATCGTCTTGTGCTTCAAAAAGTTCCAGGAAAGATGTGGCAGAACTCCTCGATGAACTGCCGGCAGGAATTAGGGAAGCTAAGGCTGCAACGAAATTTTCACTACCAACGCGCACGTAATTATACCAAGAAGCAAAGAGAAGACTTCTAGCTCAACACTGGAATGGAATTAGCTGAGGTGAATCCCACCCCATGCATTCTTTGATTCTTTATCACGTAATGAGAGTAAAACTCAATAAAAAGGCTGGATAACAGGGTTGGTAGATTCTTTTGGGGCTTCAAGCCAAATCAATGTTGGAAAAAAGCCAAATTGAGCAAAAATGTAAACGAGGCAGCAAAACAATAGAAAATTTCAAGTTGTAAACGAGGCTAGAAGTAACATATTTTGTTCAATCTATAGGGTGCTTGACCCCTTTTAAGCCTTACGTATTGCTTTACTCACGGCTTAAATTTTCCACTCTTGTGAAAATGCTTAGGTATTCTTCAACTGACTGATGGAACACTTTTTCATTGTATTCATAAATTTCTAACACATGATGTACATATATGTAAGGGAACCCATTTTTAGTAAAATTAAAACAAAGCAAAAGGGGAGCAAACAGAAAATTTTAGGCTTAGCAGTTTTTGCTCTCAGAATATTTACCCTTCCCTCAACATTTTATCATCGGATTTAGATGAAGTACAAGGTCAGTCCATACGACACAACCTCCTCCAAGTCCCCCTTCCCCTTTTCGCATCGCGGTCATTAAACCCTGCTTCAACAGACAGAAAGAATGAAGAACAAAGCGAAAACAACGTAGCAATCGGACAAGGTGGATAAAATCACAGATGTTCAACAAAGTATAAAAATCACAGTAAAATATATGCATTAACTGCTTGAATTGTCAATTTCTGTTAGAATGATGAGAAAAGAAAGAAGGTAGGAAATAAGTACTTATGCCTGTACTTGTGGGAAAAAGTGTAGGAAATTGTGAGCGCTCCTTCCTATCTATCTCTCTCTCTCTCTCTTTCTCTCTTTCTTTTGTATATAGTTGTTGTTGTTGCGATTGAATTCAGTTGAATAGAAGATTTCTTGCTTACGAACTCGAAGGGAGAGATGTGAATTATATCTCAAAAGAACTCTCGATAGATGCGAACGCCAGTCACGAGGAAAGAAGATAGATGGAACGATTTACGTAAAGAACAATATTTAAAATAATACTAAATTAAGACCTTGATGGACCGAGGTGACTTCGTTAAAATTCTTACGTTATTTTCTTCTCTCTGGACGTTAATTCTTCTCTCTGATTAATAATTCGTGGTTGTTTATGTCATTATATTCGCTGATGTTTATACTTTATCTTGCATATAAATTCGAATAAGAAATTATACAGTCCTCTGACTTTGATATAGAATTTGATCTTCAAGACGAATGAACCTATATGGTAATTCTAACCTGCCAAGTAAATAGATCTTAACTATTTACATCTTAGTAGTGATTCCTGGCAGGTAAGTCTCTAAAAAAAGCCAAAATTAAGCTAAAAAATGATTTTAAGCCAAAAGGAATTTCTGAAGCCAAACAAGTTCGAAAAAACCAAATTTCTGGAATTTGACTTTAAAAAAGCCAATATACCAACCCTGCTGAATAAACCGTAAGATATTATCAATCGATAAAACCGTGCATTCTTTCCAACATCAACTCAACAACCAACTACGATCAACAACAAAACCAACAAACAGGTTTGGAGTAAATTACACCTAAGCTACCAATCAGAAATAAGAATAATGTTACTGGGATTAGTCATATTGCAATAAGTTCAACACGCTTACACACTTCCTCAGCAACGATTGTGTTGACTGCGAAAACTAAAGAAACAGAACTGTAATTAAAGACGCTTAAACAATACCCTATATATCTACACCATTTCTAAAGAAAAAGTGTGGGAAAATGCTGCGCAGTGGAAGGTTCTCCGACATTAGCTTTCAAATATTATTTTCTAGAAAATCCTGTTTCAATACTTGTAAAAAAGCTTGCAACGACCAGGTATAGAGTCGCTCTGTAAATAAACTGCTTTTTCGTCATTGCTGTTGCACTATACAGGTGCATTATGATGATTATTATGACTTATTAGTGTCAAGCATAGTATATAATATTTTTGGTCCCATCTTGGATTCTGAATCTCCATACTCTAAAGTATATAAAACCATCGAGATCATCTCGGTTAGATGAGAAATCAGATTTTCACAGCCATAGCCCTGCCTACAGTTCATAAAGTTAAGAACTGAGACCCAATTGCAGAGGTTTGATGGGGCAAGATCTTGTGCTCATCTGGTCATGTGTCAGCCAATTTGTGATACCTTTTACTTATTTTGCAGATTTATAGGTATTTCAGGATATGGAAAAAAATTTCAAAACTTCTAAAAAAAGATTTTTGTGACGTCATCATTTGACAACTCTATTGACTGGAAGGTAATTTATTGCTCTTTCGAGGAGGCTCCCATTACTGGTTTAATTACCGAAAATGTTTCAATCGGCTTTACAAATGATCTGCACCCATATCTTTATGTCTGTACCTCATAAAGGCGATTGAAATGGCATTGAAAAGGCTCTTGTGATTAGAAGATTATAAAAAGCTGCGAGGAGCTTGTTTTTCCCAGTTGCCACATTGCTCTAGGAGTGAACAACACCTGAAGTGCAGTAAGAGGTATGTTTTTCGTGTTGACTTGTTTTAGTGCAGTCCTCAGATAATTGTTGTTTTTGTGCAACGCAACTATTTAAAGGTAATGTGTCCATATAAAAGGACTGCGTATACCCAACTTGTCAAGCCACCCATCAAAATAACAGTTTGCGATTGGTTAGTATTCTTGCGATGCAAAACTGCTCACATGAAAAGCTAACTTCGCAGTAGGATAGATAAACGGAACGGCCGTAATGGCTGGGGCGATGACATGAAAAATCGTATGTTTCTAAACCTCCCCCCCCCCCCCAGAGTCGCTTGCTTAAGCTGGATACATTACCTTTAAGGGTATTGGTGACGGGTAAGGAGAAGTAGGTCATTTCGCAAAAACAAATAACAGCATATCAAGAATTCTTCATATCAATGGTACCTAATTTCCTTAAACTAGTTTTTTAAACAAAGTTGTTTTAAAGAAGAACATAAGATTTCAGCATAACTTGGTCCGATTTCATTTTATTATGAAGCTATTTTAGAAGAAACTTTAAAAAGAGAATTTACTCGTGGTCCGATAGGAAGAGACATCCGATAGAAAGGGCTATCATAGGGAAGCCACACCACAACACGTGCTTTAAAGTGCAAAAAATCCACATTTTTAAAGCATCTCTGCATTGAGCACATTATTCACAGACACGCCTAAGTTTCTATTTTTGCTCTTTTAGGCAACGACAATTCAGGATGAGGTCGGTCGCTTTGGCAGTCGTCCTCGGCATAGCTTTGATAGCAATAGCCAAGGGTATGTTCATATTTTTATGCCCATTTCGTTAAAAAATTATTAGAAATGTAACAATGAAGACAATCCGAATCGCAGCCTGTCACAGTTATTCATTTGAGGTAAATGAAGAAGCGCGAAAGACATTTTAAAAACTAGGCTCTGTTGTGGAATGCTGCGAGGTTGCATGCGTCTAGCAACCAATTATTGTTAATGCATAATTTTTGTTTTATGTTATACTAATTATACTAATGTTACCATAACGGAGAGTTGATATTATTCACAGAGGGGTTATAATACAATTAACTACGTTTCATGTGTTATGTTTTTCGCGTCAGTAGTTACGAGTAGAGTTTGAACTAACACGAGTGTAAATTGATTGCCAGAAAAGATGTTTGAGATAAAATTTGACTTCTTCTTTGTCGCTGCTTGACAGTGTAACCAGCGGAGAGTTGGGTTATGAAGTTCCCAACAGGCTCCTCATTTTTAGAAAGTATCAAAATAGCAGACCTAATGCAAAAACCTTTTTTCAGGTGATCCCGTTGATGAGCTTGACAATGTTGAATACCAGGAAGAGTCACAAGGTGACGAGCTCGAACTAAATGGTAAGAGTCATTATTGCTAAAACTCATCTACAGAGGTTCGATAATTTTCGGGTGTTATGTGAAGGGCAGTCAAGCTCGAGCGGTATAGAAAAGTACAGGTTTCACATTAACATTTTCATTCAATGAACAATAAACATGACTCCAGTGAGACATGGAACACAAGTTAAATTCTAATTACAAACTACTGTTTGAATAAAAAGCTACGCGGAAACACGTGATGAACTTAGCCAATAATATTTTAGAAAAACAGGAGAAGTGACTAACATGATATAAGCTTGAGCGACGATACAATGTAAGAAAAACAGCCGAGTCATATACTAAAAGTAGATACCGAAAAGGAATGAAAACTAGGGTAAGACGTAGGTAGAGCTGAAAAGATGTAATAAAAGTTAGTCATTAAGACCCTGTTTACACGGGATCGATCCAGGCCGGGATCGATCCCAAACTGGTACGGATCGGCCTTCCGTTTACACGGGAACGCTCGGGATCGATCCGCTATCCGTGCCTATTTGGGTTTGCTTTGGTAAGCGTTCCAGTTTGGGATCGATCCAGTTTGGAATCGATCCCGTCTCGTGTAAACGGGGTCTAAACTGATCGATCCCGTCTCTCCCGTGTAAGCAGGGTCTAAACTGATTCGGAAAGAGCGGCTAAACTAAAAGAAGCAAACTATTTGATGACGATAGAATAGAAAAAAAATATCTAAATGAATGAAGAAAAAGGGGGTATCGTGAAAGTAACATTGCTTAAAATAAGGGCTTTCATCAGATTGATTTTAAACCAAAACGAAAGACAAGAAGGTAATCTGACAATTATTCCAACTGGCCACACCCTGTTTCAAAAATGCTGTTTGATATCTTTTATAGCAGACTTCCTTCTTTCACCTCAAGGGTGATTGGAGCTGTTCTTACCATTTCAGACAAGCGGAATTTTGGCTGATAATTTTCTTTTTGATAGAATTTAGAACAAGGGCTATTTATCCAAAAAAAGTTTGGTTTAGAAAAGAGCCTCTCCTTTTAAGAGCAACTTCTTCATAACTGGAAGGCCAAAAGTGATAGCAGTAAACAAAATTGTTATCTTGTTTGTGCCTTGATCCCTTTGAACTTTTCTTTCAAGATACGTCCAAATTGCCTTGCTTTTACAAATTCGGTATCAAATATTGAATAGCCTAAAGCTGAATTCACACTAGAAGCGGCGCATCAGACAGCGTTTCACAAGAATGGATTTTAAAGGCTGATTTCCACGAGGCGAATTTCGCAGCGAATTCGCGGCGAAATCGCTGATGAAGGCATCAAGGCATGCGCAGTTTTGATTTTTGATTTCGCAGCGAATTCTCAAGAAAGTTGAAAAGAGTTCTACTTTTTCTCGGCGAAATATTACGCAGCACCTAATAACCATTCAAAGCATGGTAAATTTGCTTGATTTGTAAGAAAACAATCTTGGAACATTCGCCATGCATGCAGTTCTGAAAATGGGCGCCTTAAAGTTGAGTTTTGGCGGAAATTATTATATAATTTCGCAGCGAATTCGCAGGCTCGTGGAAATCAAAGACAATTTCGAAGTGAATTCGCAGCGAATTCGCCTCGTGGAAATCAGCCTTAAAGCTGAATCCAAACTAGAAGCGGTGCGTCACACGGCGTTTTTCAAGAATGGTTTTTAAAGACTTATTGCTAACAATGAGCCTTTGCGAGGGTACAAATTATCCAGGCAGCAATCCAAACAATGCCAGTAAACTTCTACGGATTAACCATAGTTGATTTTCAGACTGTCTGAAAATGCATTATGGGATCCTTGCGTAGCGCAATCAATGGCAGTGATATTGGACTTGATTTCAGTTTTGGTCTCGCGCTCACGAATTTGAAAATGCAAGCTAAAGAACTTGCTGTAGATTTATTTCATTTAACATATTTTCTTTCTTTATTTATTGGGTCGGCAAAATTCTGTGTGACCATACTCTACAGTTCGAGAATATTTGTACGAAATAGTGTTTCTTTAGCGATATTGGCGTTTTCAAAGAGAGAAGAATAGCTTGCTTACAAAACTCTCTTATTGTTATGATCAGGGCCGGTCCCATGAGGGGGTGTGGGAGGGTGTAACACCCCCCCCCAAGAACAGGGATTTGTGCTTTAGTCGGTGAAATTGGGATTTTAGTCGGTAAAATTGGGATTTTGACGGGTAGATAATCTTTTTTAAATTTCCAGACGAAAAATTGTCATTCGGGTAATTTTTAAGAACATTTAAAGATATTAAAAAGTTCTGCAGTTTAGTTTTTCCGTTGATCTAGAAGAGGATTTTCAGGGATATCATTGAAGAAGATTAATCCCAAGAAATTTGACAAAAGCAGAGACAATTTTAGTCTGGGAGATGCATTTTTAGCCACTCTAGAAGGCTTGATTCTAAAAAATTTCTTTCGCGTCGGACCCATCCGTGATGGGTGGGTCCTCCTATGTCACTAAACGTGTTTCTTAGCCCCCCAGTCTTAAATTTATGGCACTGTCTCTGAAACTGCGAAGCACAATTCTCCAGGATAGTCTACAATCTCTTACGCTAATTTCGTGCGAGAAATACTTTTCACAGAACTTATCTGTTATCAAGAAGTGGGTCCAGTTGAAGAACAGAAGAGTTCGATTCAGTGTTTCTAAAGGTTGAATAAACTACGTGACCACAAAAGCTTATTTTAGAACTTCCATAAAACTAATAGTTTTACAGCTGAAGTTGCTTTGTAATTGCTGAAATTCAAATATTAACAATCCTAAAATGTTCTGATCGCATTAACTCAGTGTAATGCTGCCAAAATGTACTCGGTAGCCTGGTTCTGATGCGGCACATTGCAAAAAGTTGGATAAATCCAACTAACCACATCTTGACTCTTGACGCATTGCCCAAAAAACGCTATGCCTACCCAATTCATCAAAAATGTGAACCTTATTTGGGCAGCGGCAAAAAGGCGTGTCTAGTGTGAGCTAGTGGGAGACCAACATGTTTTGATCAACATTTCATTTCAAAAGAAAACATTTTGAAAGGAGAACTCCCATATGATTAATCCCACGTACATTGTTATGTATTGCTTTCTCATATGCCAGAGGAATTTTGCTTATTTGTGAATGAGTAAAGGTTGTTTTTCTGATGCATGGAGTCAACAACGCCAACATGATCTGTTCGGGAATGATGCAAAATTGTACCAAAATAACTAAAATGGGTACTTGGCACAATTTTTTCTACTGGGAACCCTTTTAGTAGCAATTCATTTTCTATGTGTTTTTCTTGATATTTTCTTATCCCCAAGCTAATTTTATCTATATCTTTGGCTATTGATAAATTCTCTGAACCAGACTGTTTATAAAACTTCAGTAGAAATAAGCAAGTATTTTCTAAAAGAGGCGTTTTCAGGCGTTTTAGAGGGCGATTTTATCATCAATCACAGGGTCTTCAACAAAGGAGGGGATCGGGGTGCATGGCCTCTACATCTTTTTGCACAACAATAGAGCTTGCCCCCCCCCCCCCAAGTTTAGAACTCTAAAATAATATTTTCTAGTTGTTTAGTTCCTTTATTCCACGGTTGTGAAAAAAGCTATGTACTATTTCTCCAAACAAATGGTCAAATGTAAAACCATAACTAAACAAATATCCTCAGTTATGCACTGCACTCATGCCTATTTTTCACGTAGAGTTCCGACGTGATGACGTCACAAAAATATATTTTTGCAACTTTTCAATTTTGACAATGTAAATCCAAAAGTAATTATGATAGACCTCTGATTATGCAAAATCAATTGAATGTATCAAAAATTGGCTGAGAAATGGCCATATGAAAACAGGCTTTTTCCCATCCCAATCTAACCTCTGTAATTTTTTCTTGGTTCATAACTTCATGAATCAGGCCAGAATAACTGTAATCCGTAAGCAAACTTTTATTGACCATATCTCGCTAAATTTTGAACATATTTAACTGATTTTGCATATCAATAGTTATTTTATGCTGTTCTTTAAGATTATTCCAGATTTCTTTCTTAATTTCTTAGGATAAATTAAATAGGAATGACAGTGATTATTTCCTTCATCAGAACCGAGCAGTATTTCAAATACTGAAGCGGATAGCCTTGAGCACAACAAAGAGCTAGGTAAGTTGGTTCTAGTTTTAACTAGTCACACTTGCCATATGCTTCTTGAACTATGTAGAGCATTTGAATTGTTGTTTCATTCTAGAAACACAACAATATTTAATATAGTTAATGGTTCATGCCACGGGGGGGGGGCAGGGCATGGGCAATGGCCCCCCACCTTTTTGCAAAGCAAGTAGTTTTAGAGATGCAGTAAAGGGGAAAAGCCTTGGTCCCCTACTTTTGCAAGCCTCCCCCCCCCACTTTCAAATTCTTGGCGAAGGCCTTGTATTTTCAATCATGAACAGGTAAAACTGTTTGGTAAAGTATTCAGAAAATTGAATTAATAGGTTTTGTATCAGGAGTTTTTTCCCGTGCCCTATGTATTATGCCAGCAAACATCTCTTTTATTTACTTATCTCTCTTGACCGAGCAAATAGCGAATTTGGAGTTCCTTTCCACTTGTTAATACTATCACTATCAAATAAAGACACTTCTTGTAGACTGGGACTACTGAAGCTGGTTGACAGAGGGGCCTAATAATTTTTCAAAATGTACCTAAGATCAATCAATTAAACGTATTGCTGTTGGCTCTTAGTATTTTTAGCCCTCCAAAAAAACATTTTTCGCAACCCCTCCCCAATCTGTAATATGTTGGCTGTTGGGGCCTGAAGCTATGGTTAATCAAACATAGCGTCAGGTTTTTGTTGGAAGAAGTATCGTGTAACAAAAAACATTAACCTATAATCTTTCTTTGAGGATGTAAAACAAAAACAAGATATAATCATTTTGATAGTACGGTTGTTGCATATTGTATAGAATATCGTGTAGAATATAAAACCAAGGCCTCAAAAATTTTCTTACTGCTATTCTAGAAGCGGATGATGCAAATGATGATGATGATGATGCAAACACGAATGATGAAAACTCCTTGGACATCCCTAACTTTGAATCCGATTCTGGTAAGGGGTGATACAAGCTAGTTTTATATTTTAAAATAATGCGATGCGTGTTGTAAAGTTTTATTCCTCTCTCAATTTTCACGGCAAAGACAAGGAAGACACCCCTGATGGTGTTATACATTTATATATTTGCACTTTTTACTATAGGCCTTTATCGCGACTACACTCATTTTTTATAAGAAACAAAGGTCGATGTTGAGTATTCCAGTTTCTTAATGAAATATCAATACTCATTGTTTCCTAAGAGTTTCTTAATTTTGATGTCATGAATGATGTTATGAAATGTTTGTGAACTTTATTTATCACGCCAAGAGATTCGCTTCCGCTCTGATGCTGTATTTAGATGTGGGAAGTATATTTTTATCCCTTGTGTCTTAAGTTCTAGGCCAACAGGGCAATCATGTTCTTGGATTTTACAAAATTTTGTTGTTCTCAGTTTTATCACGATTTGATAGTTTCCTATTTTTTTTGCTTCGAGTACTGAAGTTTCTTAATTTTTTCTGACTGTCTAGTACTCATTTCTTATAGCCGGTTTCTTGTAAAAAATGAGTTTAATGGCGGTAGCCTTTTCCAGTCTAGGATAGTTGCTGTAAAAATTATAGTTCACGTAAAAAATGTTTGAATTCCTTCAAATACGATAGTAATATGCTCCCACAATAGCTCTTATGAAAGCCTAATATTTTTTTTAGATCCATCAGAAAGCAGTTTAGAAGATAAAGACACTTTGGTGAAAAATGATCCCAAACCAGGTAAATATGCTCTTCTTTTTTTCAGTTGAACTGATTATGCTCGCGTATATTTATTTCTTATTCTAAAATTGTTCGAAATTTGGTCTCGAACTCCACGACACCCCTGGCTAAAAAAACAACATGAAAGCGCGAAAAGATTCTTCGCAGCGTTAAGGCATTAAGATTTTTTCTTTGACAAGCATTAAGGCTTGAAGTCCCTAGGAAAATGTCACAATCACTTCACGATCCCAGATCTGTTTTACCCAAACATCTACAATGTTTACCCACTTCTTTAGGCTGGGGAGGAAGAAGAAGAAGGTCCAGGAGAAGAAGGTCCAGGAGAAGAAGAGCCAGAAGAAGAAGAGCCAGAAGAAGAAGAGCCAGAAGAAGAAGAGCCAGGAGAAGAAGGTCCAGGAGAAGAAGGTCCAGGAGAAGAAGAAGAAGATGGTTCGGGAGAAGAAGACGAAGGCTAGCAATTTTCAGAAAGAGGTATTGGAAAAGAAAGTTCTTCCCGTCATGCAGAAGATCAAGATTTCATCCAGGAAGACGCCCCTTAATAGGATCACCACGTCGTAAGCAGTCAACGTTAATTTGTGTTTTGCCTTGGAAGCATAGAATAGTGCTGTTTAAATTAGCCAGGAAATTGTGCTTAAAGGCAGTGTGCCGCGCCAATCATTGGTTTACCAAAATGAAGAATTAAAGTCATATATCAGTGAAGTCTCTTACTTGCTTTTGATCAGTTGTACTAATTTGCCACGCTTTTCTAATTTCGAAGACAATCTCTAATTTCTAATTTCAACAAACAATAGCCATTTAACCGCGCGGCATACTGCCTTTAACTGCTTTGTGTCCTAAATTTTATTCCTTTAACGAATTGGTTGCTGGGGTCGTATTTTGCCGTAAAACCAAGAACGTTGTAAACAAATAATAAATTAAGACAAATTGGAATAGATTCGACTTTTATTACAGGACCGAATCTCCTATGGCTTTCCGAACATGCTAGGATTGCAATTTAAAAAGTTTCTAAGATATTATGAATGATATCAAGTTCTCGAGAAATAGACAAGTTACTATAATTAATGGTATTTTTGCACAGAATGTTCTTTATTCCGACACCGTCTTTGGCAGACAAAGATGGTAAATTATGTTATTCATAGCACATTAGATTTACCTATGTAGGGAACAAAGTATTTTTTTCCTATTTTTCGTAATGATTTTTTCGTGTTAACAATAAGTGTTCTTCCAAAAAGATGAAATATTGAGCAAACTGTTCTTATCATAACTGAAAAAAGTTCCATGGTTCAGTTTTCACGCCTAGTTGTCTTTTACCTTGGATAGGCGGATTGTTATTTATACTGAGCTTTATATCTAAATTTGATTTTTCATTTTCAGGAACCTGTATCAACTCCAACAATTGTAAGTAGATTTCAATTCCTGAATAATTTTGATAATCAAATAAAAATCCTTTTCCCAGGGGATCAGGCCTATTTTTGGACAAGGATTTATGGACTTGGAATAACGTCTCATTGCAAATTAGAACAAGTCCCACAATCATTACATTCAAAGGGAAACTGAAGGACTTCCTACAAAATTAGCATCGTTCCCGAAGCATGATCCTTAGGATAGCCAGCAAATCCATACTGTTCTAATCTTTTGTTGCTTTCTCTACCATGATGCAAATATAATGAGCATTTTCGTGTATAAATATGATTTGATGATGATGATGATGATGATGATGATGATGATGATGATTCTCTAGCGTTTTCTAGCAGGAAAGGCTTCCTTCAATTTTGAAATTGCAACCTCGACCTTTCCCACATTACAACAAAATTTTCATGGATACAATTGTATTATGCACAGCAATTTTTGTCTCGTCAGGGTCAAAAGAGAAAATTTTTCAGTAACATTGAAAACTTAAGATAATAATCTTTAAACTGATAAATGCATTTTTTTGGTTTTATCTAGTATACAGTCAAGCGAGATGCTGGGCACCCAAGATATTCTTGGGGATTGGTGAGCAGTACAATCCTTCGTCAGTTGACTTCTTCTTCCGTTATGTTAGACTAATAAGACGCAATGGCTTCCGTTATCAGGTGGTCAACCACAATCCCAGAGCCAACAACCTACCTAATGGAAACTCACTCTATTTTCTGAAGTCGAAATACAGAATTCGAACACCGTCATCGACAGTTCCTTTTTTTAGAGGTTCACATCCAAGGTAAGCGTGCTACTGAAAATGTCTATGATAGAAGATAGATTTCTCATTAAAAATCGGCTAAATTCTCACCTGAATGTTTTTTTAATAGAAACATGTCTCCAACAGTATCAAAAAGGTATTTTATGTAGATAGATCGTTTGTTTATAATGTGGCTGCGAAGAAATTATTTCGAGCCCCTAACCATTTACTTCTTTATTATCCTCGTTCTTTCTTCCTAACCTTTGCAAAATCATTGCATGATAGTTTTAGGATTCAACCGATAAACAAAACTAATCAGCAGGGTTTTCGCAACACATTTTAAATTTGATTGATTTTGCTAAAATGTACCGTGACCCGTTACTGGCCTTTGTTGCCTTTACAGCTGAGAAATCGCTGAGAATTGGCCTCGCCTTGCCTTGTTGATGATGTCAAAAAATTAAATCGTTTGAAAAGACTGCAAGGAAAAGACAGTAAGAAATATTCTGAAATGTAATTTAAGCTAATCTTAAAGGCGTGGTCACAAAATTTTCTGCTAGTTTCGCTTACAGGGGACACTCATATTTACAGAATGTTTAACAATTTCCCCTTGCTTTGGGGTTAAGATATAAAAGTCCTTCAAGAAAACTGAAAATTTTCCCGATAAAAACCATCCCAACGAAATAGAAACTGAAATTCTAAAACGCTTGTCGGGGATTTTGCAGAATTTGCTCCAAAAAGAGCGTTTATAACTTTTGATTTTTAGATGTTTTTTAGATGAAACGTCTATTATTTTTAGATGTTTGCTCAAAACTTTGGAAAATCAGTTTTTACATATAGAGCTTCCTCGCCATACACAATTCAGAATAAAAACGTGAGAGGATTTATGAAGGAAACAGACAGAACAGGTTCAGCCACAAAAAGCTACATATGAAGATTATTTTGCTTGATTAGCCAA